CCTCTCTTTTTTACAACAAAATTTACACATTTTGGGTTTTATTACTCCTTAGTTCTTATTACTTTTTTTTGGAAGAGAATAAAGTCAAATATGGCAAAACAAAGCTGTCAGTCAAAACCAAGGATAGACATAGCACATGATGTAAAAGTACAAGGTTATCAACAATGGTTACCATAATGCCTCTTGCTTCCTTAAAAAGAATTGTGTATCTCATTAGGTATTATAAAGTTGAACAAAACAGTAGAGAACAAGACCAAATTCTATAATGATACTCTTGTCATGTCTGTAATTTTTATGACATTGAAATGTCAAAACATTGTCATCGTTATATGTAGAAGATAACATTCATTTTAAAAATAATTTCATCATATTTTGAATGTCCGGGCTTTATCACTTATGTTCTTCCTAAATAAGTCCTTTTTTATTATGAAAAATAGAAAAAAAATTTCTCTTTAGCTTATAGATTTATGTTTATTTCCTTATTGTAGGATCATCTGGTAGTGTTTATTAATATAGTTTTTATTTTATTATGAGAGCAGTATTGTGTGAAGTTGAAGATAGGTGATTATCCATAATCCATTCTGTTTTTTCCATAATCCATTCTTAAGCTATTTTTCAACTTTTTCTCTAGCTGTCTTTGTTTCTTTTCTATCTCTCTCTCTCTTTTTTTTTTTTAAGACAGGAATTCACTGTGCAGTTCAAATTGGCCTTAAATCCTTCCTGTATCTTGGCTGGCCCCCAACTGACAGTGATCCCCGATCCTCTTGCCTCAGCCCCCTGATTGCTGGGATACAGGCCTGTGCCACCAAGCCCAGCTTCAGTTGTTTCTATTAAGGAGATTTATGCTCAGCCTCACTGAGCTTCTTTTTCCTTGTTCTTTCTTTCTTTCTTTCTTTCTTTCTTTCTTTCTTTCTTTCTTTCTTTCTTTCCTCTCTCTCTCTCTCTCTCTCTCTCCCCCTTCCTCCCTTCCTTCCTTTTTTCTTTTTGGTACCAGGATTAAAATCACAACCTCACACTTGCCAGGCAGGCACCTGTGCTGCTGGCTGAACTCCCCAGTATGTCATTGATTTTCTTTGTAACTAATACAGTTTTTAAGCACCTAAGTTAAGATTTTGGTTCTGCACTTTATCTTCAATTACTCAACTATGCTTGTGAATATCTGTTAGTATAATGGATTAAGGTCTTTCAAGAATTTTGAAAGAATGTACCATATTGTCACATTCAGGAACAGGTTTCCTTTCTCTTACAAATTCCATATATACGTATCTTTTGTCCTTTCACAAGCTCTCATAGAGCCTTTGTACTCTGCATTCTGGCCTGTCTTACTTTTGCTCCAGTTGACTATATTTTATTGATGTGTGCTTCAATTCAATAATTCACCTCCATTTATTGATCCTTAGATATATTACTTTTTTGAGAACTAGAATTTACATTTGTTCTTTTGGTGATTTTGTTTTTCATTTTTAAATGTACATTTTGCAAGGATGATCTTGAGGCCTTCATAGGTAATGGAGGCAGCTGGAGACTATCCTCAGAAGTGAAATAAATAAGAATCATATTTATAAATATCACATTGTGTCCCTAGTGTAAAGAGTAATAAGTATTTTAGGAGTAATGAAACCCACAATGTGTAATTGGTATTGTAAAAAAGAGAGGGAAGGAAAGTGCTCTAAAGGATATAACTGCATGTATGTTTAAGTGTGTAAGATTGATAACCATATTACTAATATTTTGTTGGATCATTGGACAGAACTGTTTGCACTCTCACTGTTTGAATGTCCACTTTGTATGCTTTAATTTTATTTGTAACTTGAACGACTATTTCTAAGATGACAGTATGTAATTTATCAACTAGTGATTTTTTGGTGTTTATTTTTTTGAAATTCTGTATTATGACTATCCTTTTTTTCTGTTTTGCTTTTTACTCTATAAATAAAATTTTTAAAATTCACATATTGTAAATTTCCTAGAATTTTCTTCTATTAATTTATCATAGCACTCCTAAAGCTGTATACATCGCTTTAGTCATCAACGTTTTTCTTTTTTTATTTAGTTTTTGTGTCTGTTAGTTTCTTTAGATGCTGCCATGAGTTTCATAGTTCCAAAATGTTTTAGTATATTTGCAGAAAATCCAATATAATTGCATTTCACCATGGCATGCATGTGCGGTTATAAAATGTCCAATTACCTCTCTCAGCACCGGGTGGTGGCTCTTGCCTGAGGTTTCAGTTGCTCTCGAGGCTGAAGTAGAAAAATAACTTTAGCTGAGACATTTGAGGTAATTGTGGACATCACCAAGATCCATGTAAAAAGCAAGCAAGAGGTTAGAAAACTAAGTAAGCATACCCGCAGGAGAGAAAGAGGGACTGACAGAGGAAAAGAAAGCTTAATCTAGCGATTTAATTGAAGACTGATATAAAATAGGGTTCCTGTGAAGGATTTGTCTACCTCTGTCTTCCTTTCCTCCTTCTGTTTTGTTTCTTTTCTCTTTTTTTCTGCCATCAAAAAATTCTTATCAGTAGTAACTTTTATCTTCAGCCTCATACATAAAAAATGAATTAATAACTGTCTAATTTTGGTAAAATTGTAGCAAGTTATCATCCTATGTCTACACAGTGGACAATTTATTGTTTGAGTAAACTGTATTTGTTTCCAGAAAACAAATCTCCATTTTGTGAACAAAGACTGCATAATTTCTATGCAGCCATTGGTAGATCTGTGTAAACATATGGTAGATGTAATTGTGAAATACACTGCAGTTAAACTGGATGATCCATCCTCAGGTCAGCCTTAATGGTGTGGAATAATTTCTGCTGTGTAATGTCCTAATTTACAGTTCTGTAAACTTTTCTATCATCTGTTTGGGAAATATTATTTTCAAGAAAAAATTCACATGCAATTACTTACTCTTGATCTAGAGCTGCTTTGACAAAACAGTGGCAGAACTGAGTGTTGAAACACTGACCAGAAGATGTGCAGACCCAACCCATGACTATTTTGCACAGAGGATGTTTGCCTTCCCTAACTGTTGTATAAGGACCATCACATTTGCTGGGTATAAAACTAGATCCAGTAGTGCCAAATCAAAGAAGAGACATCACCATTTCAAATTTCGACCTTTTATCTCCTGTTATTCCACTAACCCCTAAATGTTTTACTTTATGAATTTGTCAGTTTCATTTGTTTAGGACAGTGTATTGCATTATATGTTCATCTTTCTTCTTTTGTAGTAAGCTGTTACCTAGAGCTACATACTTTTGTACACATTCTTGTCAGGTACTTAATTTGTGCATTAAAACATCAAATAGTCACTATTCTATGTACATAGTAATATTTATTTTTATTTATATTGTTTTAAAATTTTTTGAATGTCCATATTTTCATTTCAATCACTTTCTAAATAATTCTATCACTTTTATTGTTAAAAATTGAAAAAAATTCTCTACTTTTCCTTCAAGTTTAATGTTAATTTTCTTTACATTTAAGATAATATTTTATGCTTTATTAATATGTTATCCACTTTAGTTCATCATATTGGCGATTTTGAGTGACTGAGATTATAAATTTATGATTGCACATGCTTGAACCTTAGCACATTATGTTTTTTTCCGCTCCTTTTGTTTCTGTCCCAACCAAAATTCTGCTGATTATATTTCTCCTAGCAGTCTTACACATGTGTTCTAGAATCAAAAACATCGAAATTTTACACTGCTTTTACAAAAAATGTTTTGATCGTGAGCATATTTATCCTTTAATCATTCCTTTTTACATTAGCATTTCATTGCCCTTAATGGTATCAAATTTCCCTAAGTGGAACCCAATCTCTTAGAATGGAAGCAATTTTATTTTGGAGAAAATCAGCATGCATGAACACATATGTTTGATAAAGACCAGGTTTCTAGGTTTAAAAAAATCTAGTTTTAATTTGTTACTGATCAATTATGATTTAATTTATTTATCTTAAATCTGTTTAATTAAATTTATTTAATTTAAATTTGTTTTATCTCTCTTACATCTTTTACCTAATCAAACTCTGCCCAATTAAAGTTCCTTCCCCCATTGCTATGTATAATACATATAATATTTTAAAATGTTAGACTAAAGTAGCATGCTTTGAGATGCTATTTGGTATGATATTGGTGAGATGGAATGTTAACATTATTGCTGACATTTTCAATATGATGACACTTATTATTCTTTAGATCTTGAATTCCCCTAAATTATCACTCTCAGAGGCAGAGCTTTGGAAAGGTAATGGATCACTGGGGTGCGAGATTCAGGGTATTGGTGCCCTAATAGTTAGAGGCTGGTCACTGAGCATATGATCTGGGAGGGTTTATCTTTCTCTTGTGCTGGTTGTTTCTGTTTCTGCTTCTTGGCTGCCATGAGATGAACAGCATATGGTCTACCGGGCTGTCATCATGCCATGTCCGTCTTGGTGCTAGCTAAGCCTCACCTAACGTAAACCTCTCCTTGTGTATATTGGAATGTCAGATATTTGGTCCAAGTGATGAGAAAATTGTTTGAAATGACACATTCATTCTTTAGGCAGAGTATGTTTTTAAAATGAGAAACATTCATCAGGGTACACCTCTAGCTGATTCATTCAAACCACAGGTGATAAAAATGTCACAGAACATAGACACAATTTTAAATGATCAGATGCAAACACAGCTATTATTGTAGAGGTCGCCATTTCAAAAACTTAGATGAGCATAAGCAAAAACAAATGGTGTGTGAGATTAAAAGATACATATAAAATTTGTATAATCATTGAGAAACACCTGATATTTTTCTCCATTGAAGTTAGACACCCAATTATTTCAAGAGCTTCCACACCCTCACTTTCCCTCTCCTCTCTTCCTGTTTGCTTTCTATTTCTCTCCCACAATGCCAAAACAGCACGTTGTGACTAATTATACACAAGCATAGAAGCAAAACTCATAATGCAAGAACATAGTAGCAAGACAATACTTTGGTTGAAATATAGTTTATTTAGTAATTCATTTTTGTATACCACAATTGAGTGTCAAATTTGATCACATTTTATGCTCTCTTGTAATGGTAATACAGAAACTTTTGTCCATATAATTGCTCAAGACTACAGATACATATAAATTAAAATTGTATGCTACATTAGATTTGCTTTTTTTTTAATGGTTTGGTGTATTATTTTTGTTTTGAAGATCTTAAACATTTCTCACTTGAAAGAAATTGGGGACAGTTGCAAGAAAACAGGAAGATGTAGCCAATAGGTTAGCAGCAGTGGAAATTCCTCAGTAGAAGCCATAGGACCAGTATCTTCTACAGCACAGAGGGCGGCAACAGCCATAACCATAGCCACCATAGCCACCGCAGCCACCATAGCCACAGCCACAGCCTAGGCCACCATAGCCATAGCCCAGGCCACCATAGTAGCCGCCATAGTAGCACATGGTGTCAGGAGTGTACCGCTCTGCTGAGGATCTGGAAGTGGTTGCCTTGTGTCTTGGTGTCTCTGTCTGCCTAGCTCCTTTTATACCTCCTGGTGGTGGGCAGGGAAAACCACAAGCAGGGCAGCATCATACCATCTGACCAACGGGCTTCACACAATGTCATGAAAGACTTTGTTTATTGGGAAAACAAGGCCCTCAATGCTGAGATAATTTTGTTCCTAAGTTTGAATTCCATGGTGAAATTATAGGCCTTTAAATTGAAATTTGTTATATTTCCAAAGCTCTAGGCCATTCTACATATAATTAAATCTGTACTTATGACCTGATCATGTGATCTGATGCAACCATGGAAATACCAATTCCATTTTTATTTTCATTTTGTTTTGTTTCAATTCTTGTGAATCACGCTTTCTTTTTTCTCTTCACTTTTCATTTCTTCTCTTTCTTATTGCAATCCTCCCTTCCTTCTTTTCTTCTTTTGATCCTTTTCTTTTTTGTGTGTATCTCTCCTCCCTGTCTTCCTTTGTCCTTTCCTTCCTTGAAAAGTCTGCCCTGAAACAACTTGTTTCCTGCATCTTGCTCATTTACTAACGTGGTGTGTTAGAAACTCTGTTGTAAGAAACATTGTGGATATTTAATTTTATTACTTGATTAAGTATGTTCTAACTTCCTAGAAAATAAAACTTATTGACAGAATAAAATAGTTCATTGGTAGAAACTTTATATGTACTATACTTCTCTATGTCTCCTCATATAAAAGTTTTGTAAATGTAACAGTGATACATACAAGATTACGTCCTCAATTCTTGATTTCGTTTGTTTGTTCTAATGTAGTTTTACCTTTTACCTCATAAATGGGTGGATCACTGGTTCAGATGTGACATTTCTCCTAAAATGTGTAACCGTAAGAAAAGGACCAAGTAAGTACTGTTCTCTTTCTTGTTCCCACAGATTTAAGGTGCTAGATGAAGTATTACTAAAAATAGGGATAGTCATTCACGGATTTACATCTTTTGTTTTATCTAAATGTTTACTTAAATTCATTAAATATAAATTTTCTTACAACACATGAGCTTATTATAGTTATACAACGGACCTGAGATTCATAGTCAAACAAATCAATTTATAGTATGTCATTATTCAAATATGGGTATTGGAGGATTTTAACAAAGATAGAAGAAGATTTCCCTCTGATTTTATAGCTGCTGAACCAAATTTCATCTGACTTCAGAAATCCCACTACATTTATTATTACTGAATTCTGAAAATACGCAAAAATGTTAAATATGATGAAAATTCTTTTACCACAAACAGTCTGTTTTAGGTAAAGTTCAGATGTTTGAGAGAAATTGTTATGTACTGTTGGCCTCTCTCAGCCACTAAGTAGAAAAGTATTTGCCACTAACTGTTTGTTAATCATTTTTAACATTTAGTCATGTGAAGTTTATTATTATTTTCCTTTCTCTTACTTCTAGTTTGTTGTCCATAGCTGAAACTTTATCTGTGACCAAATAAAAATGGGGAAATTTTCAGCATTGTTAAAAAAATGTATTTTTTGTCTTTCGAATTAAAAAAAAAGATCCAGTAGGTAAAATATATATCTAATGCTATACATTTTCTATATTTCTGCAAATAAAATAGATTTTTCAAGTGTGCAAATAATGCTTGATGTCTCTAATGGTCAATTAGAATTTAGTCAATACCATTGATTTTTTAAATATTATGCCTGAATAATGTTCAGAAAAGTTTGTTATTAGTAATACGCTAGAAAATCCTCTAATTAATATAACACACAATTGTGTTGTCTGGTTGTCATTTTCTAGTATCATGGAGCACCTTCAGAATAATTGGAATGTATGAGAAAAGTTTTGCTGGATTTCAAAGAGAAAAGTTGAAGGTATACGATCAATGGTGGGTGTAAGATGGAGCCAGGACTCAGCACTGTAATGACTGCTGTGCTGAAGTGGTGAACAACAGATCTTGTCTAGAAGATTTTATATCTAACCGTGGGTTCCCGGCAGCTATCACACGGAATATTTAATCTTTACAGGGCCTGCATCCCCATGACATGGGCATGTAGATAGCTTCATGTGAAGATCAGGCAGCAAATCATCTCCTGCCTGAGACACAGCAGCTATATATTTTGTATCTTCAAGGTTTGTGAGATCACCATGCTGCAGAAACCAGGGGTGATGGTTAAAAGGAAGAATAAGATTAACAGCAAAAGTATAAAGGATTTGTAAATACAGTATTAAAATGTATCTCACTGGATTCAGTTATTCAAAATGGAAAATGGTGAAGCTGAATACCTTTTTCTTAATAACTGGGGATAAAGTTCTTTTGTTTATTTTAAAAACAAAAAAGGATGTAAAAAGATACAGAATTTCAAAACAAAATAATAGGAAATCAACACTGGTTAATATATTGCATATTGTTAAGTTAAAAGTAATGTTCAGATTATAAAATTTAGGCATAAAAACTGTGACTGTGGAGGTAGTGTGGAAAAGCAGAGGGATGAGCCTTGCAGGTTGTGCTGTTAGGAAGAAACTTGATAGAAACCATAGAACTTGAATACGGTAACAAAATGAGCAGCCATAATCAATGAACAGGCACCACAGAGGTTTCTATTATGGTGTCTAGAGACAGAAGCTGAAGTTTGTCAAGCAACAGAGACGACTTCCTCAGAGTGAGTGCTGACAGCTGCAGAGTACAGGATCTTCCAAAAATGCTTTAGTGTTGGTGGCAAAAGACATGAAAAGTTCTGTCCTTACAATTCATGCTGTCATTCAAATAAAGCACCATCAGTCAAGAGACAGGTGAACGACTGTGTTATTACATGTAATGTGTTAATATCAGTATGCTTGTGTTCTTTAGTATTTAAGATTTCCCTAATTAAAGATACTTTAGCTTGCCCTAATTTCTTTCAGTTATTGTATTGGCAAAGCAAAGTCACCATTATTTACATCATTTTTACCATGATTAAGGAAATTTGGAAAAAAGAAATTGCACCTAAAGCTAACTTTTCCCTTAGCAATATTCCCTTAGTAGTATTCCCTAACACTGCTTACCTTCACTAAGCAGTGTTATTATACCCAATGCAATCCTTCGACAGTGAGACTCTGTGTGTAGGTGCCCATCACTTCAGTGTCTCTCATAATTGTAGTAGAATTATGGAATTCATTTAAATTACATGATTTACACTAATACACCATTCAAGCAAGTGAGAATCCACGTGATGCTGATGGGGACTTGCCATGTGCCAGACATTTCTGATACCATGTATTGTATTAATATCATAAGTGAGATGATACTTTCCAGTAGGAATGCTTTCTTTCCTCTTTATAGCATTATGTGCTACACGCTGGCTTGCAAGCCTTGTCTTTCACTTTACCAATACTTTGTTGTTTCTGCAGCAACACATCTGTTCAAAGTGTGCAGTGAGTCAGAAAGCTCGCGAAATTCTTGGATGTGTTTTTATCTTTCTTGACTCTTGTTTGAGATTGGTGCTTTGTGAAGGCAGATCTTCCTCAAGATGAAAATATTGCTACAGGGATTTCCTTAATATGAATATTTAAATGTGATGGAAGTAATTATTTTCTTGTCCCTTATAGATTTATGTAACAAAGGAGAAACATTTCATTAACAAAAAGAGCACAGCAAAATGTTTAATTGACTCAAAAAATGGCATCAGATGAGTAGTGGGGACCGTCATTAAAGCAGTCTGCAAGAATGGAGCCTTGGGCTGAAGTGTAATTTGATTCTATTTAACTTAAATTTTAAAAACATGGTTTATGCCAGTTGGGTCTGAGTCTCTCATCACAAATCAAAATAGCTCTCAGTAAGTAGGAATTTAATTCATCCAATAATATGTAATTCTTACTACATATTTGTGATATTTCAGGGTTATGGATTATCTTCTGTTTATATTTTTATGAGAGAATGACATAGCTTCATTGTAGAAGGGGTATTTTTCAGAAAGATACTTTTGAGGGACTCTTACAGTGCAAGACAATGTAAATATTCTAATGTAATCTACCTGGAGTTAAAATAATTTACTGTATTATCCTGCATTGTACAAAAGATGATCAACATGAATATTTAAGCAAAATATTATTACAGGAAAAACCCACATACAATGCCATTATTTCCCCTCTGAGCCCTCTCTCTCACCCTTGTTCTGTTGTTTTTGCCACTTTCTGTAGCAGTTCTAGAGGTCGCTTTGCATGAGTGTCTATTTGTAATAACAAAAATGTGCAGTGAATATTGCTACTGAACCATTTTACAGAAAACAGGCTTGCAAAAATCCTGTGGTATGTCACTAGTCACCTTATTCGCTAGATCTGGCAGCATGCAACTTCTGAGTCTTCCTGAAAGTTACAATGACTACCAAAAACAAAAATCAGTCATTGGGTTCAGGACATCAAGGCAGCCATGACAGCATAACTAAAGACACTCATGAGAGAGGACTCTAGAACTGCTTCAGAAAGTGGCAAGAATAGTGGATTCAGTGTGCCTAAAACAAACAGGAGTAAGCACAATGTGCCTTTTGCTATCCTAATTATTTTAGATAAGCAAACACATTGTATTTTTAATTGCACCTCATACAAAGTTTTACCTGATTTTTTTTTTTTCACTTTGGCCATGTGTGTCGTTCTTTTGTAATGGCCTATAGAAATGCTCAGGCTTCAAATATGAACTGATGTGCAAAGATGGTTGCAAGGTCTCTTTCATAGAGCACATACCTCAGCACTGAGCCACAGTACCAACAACCAGGAAGTAGGGTGCGATTTCCTCTCTTAATTTTTGGTACTGTAAATAAGCCATGACAAGAATGTGAGGTGGAAAGAGTGAAATGCATTCACATGGAAATGAAGTGTCACATGGAAGTTGCTTAGAAAGTATAGGGGAATTGTGGTGTTGTAGGCATCACATCATTAAACATTAAGGCATGAGATTGTTCTTAGATGGAGATAGCAGGGGAAATGCAGGGGCAAATTGGGAAATTTTATATGAACAGTTTAAAGACACTGCTGAATGCATT